TCTTATCTGTAAGGTAGAAGTGCAAGGAAGGTTCGTTTTCCTCTATAATCCTTGCAAAATCAGAAATAAGCGAACTTTTTCAGATTTATGCTTGCTTATGCAACTCCAAATCGACATTATGTCAGACCAGCACCATATGCAGTAGAGCCAACTAGCACGATTGGATATGTTTGAAGCGTTAAATCATGCTAAACTTTGAAAATGTGATGGATATAGTGATCGAAATGCGCTTTCATGTACTTATTTATATAAATTTCTGCAATTTTTACTGTATCTCGAAGACTTCTACACGCACAGCATCCCAAACAGATACCATCACCTTTTCAGCAGAGTCCTTCGCAAAAAAAATTTGAAGTAAATTTCCTCTAATCTTCATATAACGAGGGGCATGTCATAGGTAGGAGGTAGATTTGCTGCCTTGTTCAAAATTAACAAGAAAAAATACTCTATAGTCCCCTTGCCGAAAAACCCGTCGCTAACCAAGCTTTCCCGGAAAACTATTAATCAAGGAGATCAATTTTATATCCCGATGATAATTTCTCAACATATCAATACAATTAACATACTCTACTTTAGCGTTATAGACATTATTGAGATTTCGTTACGTGGTCGTCCACTCTTCTCAAATGTCGGCACTTGGTTGATCTTCTGTACAACATTCATTCCTTCGATTACCTGTAAAAGAACATATCTACAATGGCCAAACGGTAGTTTGGACAAAAATTGCGAGAGCATAATCACGCTTGAACGTAGTTAACGAACACCATGCCAACAACATACCTCTCCAAAAATGGTATTCTTTCCATCAAGCCATTCTGCAGGACAAACAGTAATGAAAAATTGAGATCCATTAGAGTTTGGTCCAGCATTTGCCATGGATACCTTAATGTTATTTGAGTGAACAGCTAGGCACAGCTGCTTGCATGCAGATAACAAGCCAGATCACAGAAGTAAGAAAGGGACAGTTATGAAAGATGTAAGCGATGATGAAGACTTTTTGTGAACTTAGAGGGCACATAATTCTATGAAAGAAAAAAAAACAGAAAATCCTGTAAGTCAACTAACCTTGAAAGGCTTATCGTGTCTTAATCTAGGATGGAATTCATCTT